CGAATTTCGGTGTTAATATAGCGTGAGGTCTGCCTCCCGTTTTACGTGTTTAGAAAACGTGAGACAGATAAAAATATCTATGTTAGACCTCACCTGACCTGATTCATGTTAGACCTCACCTGATTTGATCTATGTTAAACCTCACCTGACCTGATGGCCACGTGAGCGGAGGAGGCACGACATATTGAGGTAGACCTCACGCTATAGTAGCTCCCGAATTTCTGTGTGTTATTCAGCCTCAGATGAAGAGAAGACTGGACGCAGCAGAGATGTGGTTCTACAGAGGGATACTGAGAATTCCATGGACGGCTCGAGTAAGCAACTAAAGAAATCTTAAAGAAAATGACAACAGAAAAACACTTATACTCCAAATCAGGAAAAGACAGCTGAAATTCCTTGGATGCATAATAAGGAAGGGTCTTGAAAATGTACCCACCCTCACGGGCCATATTAGGCGCAAGAGAGATAGGGAAAGGCAGAGATTTGCTATATGACGTGTTTGTGTGAACGGATGGTGGAACAAGTGGCGGGGGGGGGCATTAGCAAATGAAAATAAAAACTACTAAGAGACTGACGAGATAGGAATTTGTGGGGAGCCATAATCGTCTATGTCCAGAAGGGACGTGGCACCCAGAAGAATAAGATTTGTAGGAAATTCTGTCGTCCAGGGTTTTTTTTTTATATTAAAAACCCGAACGTCCGATTCCCAAGCAATAATAAAAAAAAATAAAGAAAACCTAGGACTGGTAATTTTATAAACGTAACTTAGATGTGACACAAGGTCTGGGCTAACTCGGTGAGAATCGAACGCACTATTCAGTCATCATGTACCAAGAGAGATAAGCTTGCTATTACACAACATCGAAGTACCCGCGAAAACCTGGGTATGCATGTTAAAGAAATCATTTGTATTTGCAAACAGATGGACCTGAATTCAAAAGAGTCAAAAAGGATTAAAAGTGGGCTTCCCGTTGAGTTAAAGTCTTTGGGTAGTTGGTACACAGAAAAAGCTACACTTTAGAAAAGATGTTTACTGGATATACTCGCGTATCATGCGACTTTTGAAGACTTAATTTTAAGGGGGTCGTATCATACACAAGATATAAAATTAGCATATGTATTGATGGCCATGGCTACGCCATTGACCAAACTATATAACCATTGACTGCAGTCAAAAAGTTTGGTTTGATTTATTTTACGGCATATCACCCTCAATATGTTATTTAATGCTGACAAGATTTTATTGCTGATGATATTTTTTCTCCAAAAATTTATTGCTGATATTTCTTTTTACAAAAACCTATTAAAACCTATTTTTACATTTTCATAATATTTTGAGCCCAGTTTGGCAGTTAATTATTTGCCCATAGCTGGGGCCCTAACTGGTGCTACCACCCCGGGTGAGGGTGAACCTGGAAACAACAGCAACTAAGAGGTGGTTTCACACTCCTCAAACCTTCATGATTAGAGGATTTGCTGTTGGATGTAGTTTATCGTCTTACCTAGGACGTTGATGTAGTTTATCGTCTTACCTAGGCCGCGGATGTAGTTTATCGTCTTACCTAGGACACAGATGTAGTTTATCGTCTTACCCAGGACGCGGATGTAGTTTATCGTCTTACCCAGGACGCGGATGTAGTTTATCGTCTTACCCAGGACGCGGATGTAGTTTATCGTCTTACCCAGGACGCGGATGTAGTTTATCGTCTTATCCAGGACGTGGATGTAGTTTATCGTCTTATCCAGGACGTGGATGTAGTTTATCGTCTTACCCAGGACGGAGTCAAAATGTAAAGCCTTATTTAAAATAAACATCGCGCATTACACGTGTGTATACGGGAAATGGTTGGTCCACAGAAAGAATCTGTAGTTTAGAAAATACTTTTAAATAGTTGGTCCACAGAAGAAATCTTTAGTTTCTGTTATGGTGTTTCATATGGTTAACAAGAGCGGATCTGGTGAGAAGAACCCGGTTACACACTGGAGAGATATTGTCTTGAAAGAAATTCAGGATCAGAAACGTTCCTCATTTATCTGGCGTCCAACGTTTTGGTGCCTCGGAAATGTACAATTCTGTATGTGACCAAGACGCTACCACTTTGACCTGTTTGAGACTAAAGAACTTTAATCTGCAGAATTTAGTGGACGCTCACCAGACACCAGTTTTTCATAGACTTTTGTCGAGACAGGGAAGGCGTAGTCTGCTGCCATCCATTCGTCACAAAACAAAAAAAAAACGAATTATTCCTACCCTCCAATTACATACATACAGCTCATATGTCTGGTAGAGGTGTTATTCCCCGCTCGGGTACTTCAAGGTACCTCAGTTTCTTAGTTACTATATTAAAAACAAATACAAATGAAACTTTTCTCCCAAAATAATTGGCATCATTAACTGTTTCCTTATAAGGAAACATTCGGTATTCACTGAGCAGTGCTTTCGATTGAAATTTATAAAAAATTTTTTCTAAAAACAATTTTTCAAGAAAATAGGTTTCTCAAATCCAGTAGCTGTTATCGCTCTTTCCAGTATTGAGTAAGCTTTCCTTCCTAACCTTTTGTTTAAAGTAGTGTGGAATATCAACATCTTGATTATGTTATTGTTTTCTCTCCGAGTTACATGCGCTGTCCATTTTAGTTGTTGCTGTTCCTCAAGTGATGCGGTTTCTGCTATTTGGTACAGTTCTTTGGTTGTGATTCTGTAGCGCCAGTCCACAATGTTCAAAAAGGGGTGGTCTTTGCCAAGACCCACACGCTTCACTCGTTCAGTGCCCTTTAAGACAGCAATAAATAGTTGTGCCCGTCTGCACAGATTGACCGAGTTGAGAACTGATGACATCGGGAAGGTGGTTGATGACGTTAACAGACAAAGAAGACCCAAGAATAGAACCCCGCGGGAAGGAGACACTAGAATTAACGTGAAAGTATCTTGAAGACTAGCCGTTTTACCCGAAATTTGAAAGATAGGATATTTAATAAGTGTCTATAAATATATATGTTTTTGTCAATTATACAATAGACTGATCTGATCCAAATGAACCACGCTGTAAAACTTTCATTTGATTAGATTTATTTTTATGGTTTATCAACCCTTTGGCTATTTAAAGCCAGAACATATTTGGTAATGTAGGATTATTTTGTGTGTGTGTGTGTGTGAGAGAGAGAGAGAGAGGGAGAGAGAAAGAGAGAGAGAGAGAGAATATTGCCTTAACAATTTCTTTTGAGATAATGATATAATTCGTACTATTTAACTCAGTGGTTCTCACTTTCTTTACCCATGGACCACTTTTACCTATGGACCACTTTTACCCATGGACCACTTTTACTCTTTTTTTTTTTTTTTTTGGTGGACCCCCATAACCATTCGATGAAAAAAAGCTTATTTTATTTTTTTACTAATAGATACATTCAGGAATTGTTATTATAGAAAAAGTAAATTTATGTATTTTATTTGGAATTAAACTAATTTAATGAATCACAATAATTATCATGGGTCGACTTTGAGATTTGTGATTTCTCACTTCTTTTGATAACAAAGATTGTATCGATTAAAGAATGTTTTTTTTATAAACGTTTAGTCATATACACTAACTTTCACATTAAAAAAAAATTCTACATTTATAACTGTCAATCTTGAGACCTTTTTCACACAACACACACACACACACACACACACACACACACACACACACACACACACACACACACACACACACGTACGTACACGTGCGCGCATACACAGCTAATAGCAGAGCGGAGTTCCAATTCCACTTGGGTTTGTTATATTCACTTACGCGCAAATAACTTTGGGAAAGTTAAGAATCAACCTCTTCTCTCCCAGCTATGGGTTAATTAGTAAAATTTATATCACTAAAACCATTTTTTTCTGAAAAAAATAAAATTAAATAAAACTGCGTAGAGAATATTTAGATTTCGGCATTAAATAACCCATAGAGGTGTTGATATGCAAAAACAACCTCATTAGCTCTCAAGCACTGTTATTGCGAAAACTCTGATCACGTTGATATACATTAAATTACACCATTTTACGTATATCAATAGCTATTATTATTATTATTATTATTACTATATATGTAGGTAGGTAGGTAGGTAGAAACTGTGATTCGGATTTCATTTTTCAAAGGTGTGCAAGAAATCTCGTGATCAAAAACTTTAAGTCCATTGAATGTGCTGATTCAGGAAAAACTAACGACCACCAAATAATTGATCATTCAGAATCGGTGTGGCACTTGTCTTTAATGACGGGCTACAGAAAGACGAAAGAAGAAGAAAGAAAAAAAACCCACACGTATTTGTTAAAATGTTCCTAAGATAAATAAGAGAAACAGACAGACAGATAATTTCTACATTACCGCGCATTTAATGGCGTGGCTTGACTTCAAAAGTGCACGTCAATGTGACGCCATAATGTCAGACATGCTCTAATAAAAAAAGGTGTGACAAGGTAATTTTCTGTTTCTACGTGTGTGCGTATAAAAGCAAATATTTGCCCATTCAGCCATGTTGATTCGACGAATTGGAAAATGTCGGCAGGGTGCGGAGTTGCAACTCCAAACCATATAGTCAGGAGTCATTAAGAACTCACAGATTTGAACAGTGTCATGTCGGCTTCAATATCAGTAGAAATGTTCTAAACAGACTTCATTTGGCGCTATACAGTGGTCAGATGATTTGACCTCGTTTAAAAGCTCAATTTTCCCTCTAGCGAGATCACCAAATATAAACGAGAAAACAAAAGCCACAAACTAAAGATGCTTCAGTTGTGTTTCGATGATTGGGTCGATATGATCATCGACTTAAGAATTATGAGCAGTGCTGAAAACTTCTCCGCCCGACACACTTATCCCAAATATAAACAAGTTCGCCAAACTTTATTCATTTGTTTCCTTTTTTCTTTTCTTTTTTTTTTTAAGAGTTGCATTGTTGACTGGTTACGCAAACTGGATCTAATTTAATAAGAGAAATTAAGAGACAAACACAGAAGAATCAATTTCTTCGGAAGATAAATTTAGATGAATATAGACGGAGTTAAACGTAGTCATTGATATAAAGTTGAACAAATTTGAGATAGATAGATAGATAGATAGATAGATAGATAGATAGATATGAACAGACTGAGATAGATAGATAGATAGATAGATAGATAGATAGATAGATAGATAGATAGATAGATAGATAGATAGATAGCAAGCAGTCTGGGATAGATAGATAGATCTCAAGCACTGTTATTGCGAAAACTCTGATCACGTTGATATACATTAAATTACACCAAATCACAGATAGATAGATAGATAGATAGATAGATAGATAGATAGATATTCCTTGTTGGGTTGATTAGTAAAATACCTGATTTGACTGAACAGGTGTATCTAATTAATTGGTGGTTGCTGGTTTTGTACTTAAAGCAAATGAGGTGGCAGTAAATATCAAATCAGACTCCCTCCAGGTGTTTTCGTTTGCCCCAAATTATAAGGGAAATGTTTTTGTTACATTTTTTAATCGCCCTTATGGCTGCTAATTGTTCGTCCATATCTGCTTTCTGCAGTGTCCAGAATCCATGAGGCACACCTTATTCTTATACTTTGTAACGTGTCCCTTCAGGCCGTGGACTACTATTACTCTCCATAATTTCCCATCGTTCGTAGCTAAAAGCAATGTTTATTTCCTAACACCAGGATACATGAGAAAGCCCTTTTCTCCTTCTTCTTCTTCTTCTTCTTCTTCTTCTTTATCTAGACGCCGTGTCCTTTTAGGACGTGGACTAGTATTACTCTCCATAATTGCCCATCCTTCGTAGCTAAAAGCAATGTTTATTTCTGTTGAAACTTGACTAATGCATGGAATAATAATGCAACACAAAATGTACTTAGAACAAAATGTATTGAAACAAGAAAGTGTACACAATATTTACATATAGTCTTTTGTATATTCCTGGTAAGACCGTTCCTGGAGAATGTGTTGACTGAGTCGCAGTCGGGCAGAGTCTCTGGTTGAATCTCTTGATTCCTCCCTCTCTTCCCGGTACCAACCATATTTATATGGTCGGTACTCCACTATGCAAGTTAGGTGGATCCTACCACAACAATTTCCTAACACCAGGATACACGAGAAAGCCTTCTTCTTCTTCTTCTTCTTCTACACGCCATGTCCTTTCAGGACGTGGACTTCTATTACTCTCCACAACTTCTCAGCCTTCGTAGCTAAAAGCAAAGTCTGTTCCCTAACATCAGGATCTATGAAAGTCGCTGTCTTCTTCTTTGTGCCGTGTCCCTCTAGGCCATGAGCGATCATTACTCTCCACAACTTCCTATTATTTCGTAGCTCTAAGCAAAGTTTGTCCCCTTAACATCCCTTCTCACCTATGTCCTACATACAGAAACTTATATTATAGCAAACAAAACTGATCACCTACCACACGTAGTGTTTGACTTCACACAGTAACCAGCTGCTGTAGCCTTGTGCCAGACTAAAATCACGATAATGTAATCTTGCAGATAACTGATAATGATGAGATGAATTCGAAATTCATTATGTACCCCATTGGCGCAGATTAAATTTACCTTACGATATTAGTGTAGACTGATTGTGTAAGGAGAACATTTTTTCTTATATATAAAAACATTTATATGTATACTAACACAGGTCGACCAGTAACTATTTAAATTCATTAACAAATATTGTATTTATATACACTTCATAAAAAACCTATCTCTCTTTCTCTTCATATCCATCTCAATCTATTCACTATATATATATATATATATATATATATATATATAGTATTAAAAAAACGCACATATATATATACATATGTTTTTTAATACCATATATATATATATATATATATACTTGGTGCGATGGGTAAATTGTTGCCATTTTATATCTTTAATGTCGCGCATGCGCATTGTTTGTTTTGTTATTTTGTCGACTGCACAGTATAGTCGGGTCAGTTGGGCATCTTCTGTCAGAAAAAGAGCGCCATGACACATTTCTGCCAGAAATTCGGAAACATAATGCTGAACTGCCTGTCATTCATTCCAGGAAGCTCTAATACGAAAATTTCGGTGTGTTTGGGTGTCAACTGAGGTCATGGCAGAGAAATATAGTCAGGAGTCATCAAGAACTCACAGAACTGAACAGTGTCATGTCGGCTTCAATATCAGTAGAAATGTTCTAAACAGACTTCATTTGGCGCTATACAGTGGTCAGACGATTTGACCTCGTTTAAAAGCTCAATTTTCCCTCTCGCGAGATCACCAAATATAAACGAGAAAACAAAAGCCACAAACTAAAGATGCTTCAGTTGTGTTTCGATGATTGGGTCGATATGATCATCGACTTAAGAATTACGAGCAGTGCTGAAAACTTCTCGGTCCGTCACATTTATCCCAAATATGAACAAGTTCACCAAACATTGGTTTTCTTTTTTCTTTTCTTCTTTTTTTTTAAGAGTTACTTGGTCTGTCTGTTAACTGGTTACTTTAACTTGGATCTAATTTAATAAAAGACAGAAATTAAGAGACAAACACACAGAGATGACGAATCAATTTCTTCGGAAGATAAATTTAGATGAATATAGACAGAGTTAAACGTAGTCATTGATATAAAGTTGAACAAATTTGAGATAGATAGATAGATAGATAGATAGATAGATAGATAGATAGATAGATAGATATGAGCAGACTGGGACAGAGTTATTATGATACAGAAGTAGTACTTTCTATTATCTCTGTCGGATAATAGTAATGACATATGCGTACACATTTCATGCAAATAATGGAGCACCATTTATGGGACTGAAATAATATTTTCTATTATTTCTATCCCATAATAATTTTTACATTTGCATTCACATTTCATACGCAAAATGGAACAACTATTATGGGACAAAAGTCGTATTTTCTATTATCGCTATCCCATAATAATTGTTACACTTGCATACATATTCCATACGCAAAATTGCACAACTATTATGGGATGGAAGTAGTGTTTTATTTTGGATACTATGTTTATTTCAGAAATTAGTTCTGTTCAACTCTCTTTTTTTTTTACATTTTAACTACTATAAATTAGAAAAATAATGACCACATCATGAAAGGAGACCGAGTTTTATTTTTCTTTAAGGAATTACTCTGAATTGTAAGAAGGTAGAACTATTGTTATTGACAAGAGTAAAAGCCAAAGATTCGAATTGCGAATTGGAGGTATTAGAATAGAACAACTAAAGAAATTTAACTATTTGGGAATTTTTAAAACACACTATGGAAAATGTGGCACAGAAATCCGAAGCTATTTTGAAATAGCGAAAGATGCTTTCCAAAAGCTAAAAAAAGTATTAATAAACGGTAAATTTTCATTAGAAATTTAGAATACTGTAACCTAGTAGATTAAATGTGGGTTCAATCCCTGAACCGGGCAGTGTGTACTTGGACTCAGTGAAAACTGGCGAGCGATAACTAAACAGTACTAAAAATGTAAAAAATACAAGAGAATGTCTAAAATTAATGGCCCTTTCGCCATAACTACAAGAGAATGTCTAAAATTAATGGCCCTTTCGCCATAACTACAAGAGAATGTCTAAAATAAATGGCCCTTTCGCCATAACTACAAGAGAATGTCTAAAATTAATGGCCCTTTCGCCATAACTACAAGAGAATGTCTAAAATTAATGGACATAACAAGACAAGAGTGCGAATAATATTTGACTTTCCCTTGTAAAAGATATCCGTAACCATGGACACTGGAACGAGAATAGTCTACCCCCGTAGATTAAGCGTCCAGGGTAAGACGATAAACTACGTCCAACAGCAACGCCTCTGATCAGGAGGTTTTGAGGACCCTGAACCACCTGTGAATTGCTGGTGTTCCCAGGTTCGCCCTGACCCGGGGTGGTAGCACCTGTTAGGGTCCCAGCTATAGGCAAATAGTTAACACCCAAACTTGTGTAAAAATAGATTTTAATACCAGAAATACTTTGTAATAAAAAAAAATTATTACCAGCAATAATTTTCGAAGGAAAATTTTTTATCAGCAATACTTAAAAAAAATAATACCAGCAATACAGTTATACATTCTTTGAAAAAAAATATTACCAGCTATAAATTTCTTCAAGGAAAAATATTCCCAGAAATAGATTTTTGAAGAAAAACATATTACCAGCAATAAAATTTTTGTCGGCATTAAATAACCCATTGAGATTGATATGCCGTAAAACAAAATAAACCAAACCGTAGATTAAATAGCGGTTACCCTGTAGGTTACCCAGAACGATATACACCTGATGAAGAGCAGAAGTAACAATGGGATAACAACAACAACAATGAGGATAATAATCCGAATATAAATAGTATAGATAATAAGTCCTCCCAATTTCATGACGAATGAAGAGGAGACATGAAGCGACAGAAATGTGGTAACACCGATGAATTTTGGGAATACCATGAACTGAACACCTGAGCAAAGAGGGTGTTTTTAAAGAAAATCGAAGCTAAAAGGTTACTTACATTTCAAATCAGGAGGCAGTCAAAATCTCTGGCACATATAATGATGGTATTTATCAATTCACCCACAGGAATTGAATGTGGCACAAGGCCTTTTTAATGTGGGTATCTCTGAGCCCGTAGGCCCAGCCAAAAATAAATAACTATCCAAACCCGCCGAGGCGGGCCAGTTCCGTCAACCTCCCCCAACGAAACCCTACCCTTCGGCGGAGCTTCGTCCGGGTTCCTCTCTGCAAGCAGAGAGTTCGACAGACACCCGACCCGGCAGCTCACAAAGCGCAGATACTACACTTTGATCCTAGCCACCGGGCCGAGCGGGTATTCTTTTTATAGATACATATAATGATAAGGACAGAGTGCTTGGAAAATCTGACACCCCCAGGACATATTGAAAACAAGAGAAAAAACAGCGAGAAAACTACCTAACGAGTTTATGTAAATTAACCGGAGGAATACTTAGAGGACAAGTATTACTTAAAGTTATGATAGGACGTTGTGAAGAACCGTGATCGCCACAGTATATAAAAGATTTATGCGCTTTTTTTTTTAGCGGTTGAGTGTACTGGGGGGCTTTTCAATAAGGATCAGATTTAAATTCCCTGCAGATTGAAATCTAAAGCATTTTTACCTTCTTAAATCTATCTTTTTAAAACAGTTATTTAAGGAAATGAATTTACGGTCATATCGCGTTGAAAAGACCGTTTCTCGTTCGATCAACGTAGTTAAGCAACGTCGAGCCCGGTAGTTAGATGGGGGTGGTGGAACAGCGAGTATTGTACTCCACCTCCTACAATGTGAAATATGATTCGGTTTTAATGACCCACAAACGCTTGATTAGCTATAAAATTAAATCAGTCAATTAAAAAGTTATATTCAGTTTATTTGTACAGTTCCAATTGTGATGCCCTTCCTACAAAATCGTACACACATAACAAAAATCCAAAGCATTTTTACGCTTTTAAACCTGTCTTTTTTAAATAGTTGTTTTGAAGATCTCAATTTACATCATTTGCCCAGTTCCAAGTCTCATGCTGCTCTTACACAATCATGTCTACACTTTTACTGATTGCATGCTTCCTTGGTCATTTCTTGATACGAATTCATATTATTTGTGTAGTTCCAATTGTGATGCCCTTCCTACCCAATCATACATACATACATAGCAACAACCCATAGGATTTTTATGCTCTAAAATCTGTCTTTTTTTAAATAGAGTTCAGTTTATATCATTTGCGCAGATTCAAGTCTCGTGTTGTTCCTACCCAATCATATCGTCGACGCTTTTACTGATTACATTCTTTCTTGCTTCACCTCTTGGTGCTAATTCATATTACCGTAATTCCCCATGTATAATACGCATCTTTTTCTAAAAAAAATAATGAGCAAAATTGGAGGTACGTATTATGCACGGCTACAATTTTTTTTTAAAAATTGCCATTTTAAAGGTCGATTTCAGTTGCAAAATGACTACTCGCCAGAAGCATGCGACAATTTGACACTAACATTCGGCGATTGCGACTCCATAAGGATGTCAAATACAATCATATGGACCTAACAATACTTACGAATGTAAAATAAAATAAGAATTATCATGAATCTAAATTCGAATAATATTATTCTATGTTTAAAACCATTCTTAATAAGCGTATGAAACGCTGGCCGTAATAAAATTGGAGAGGTACAATTTATAGGGTTTGATTACTAAACAATGGGGGGCGTATTATGCGTGAATAGAAGCATTTTCTCACACTTTCAGCACAATTTTGGGGTGAGTATTATGGATGAAGGCGTATTATACATGGGGAATTACGGTATTTGTGAAGTTCCAACTGTGATGCCCTTCCTACCCAATCATACACACATGACAAAAACCCAAAGCATTTTTATGCTTTTAAATCTGTCTCTCTTAAATAATTGTTTAAAGATTTAAATTTACTACATTTGCGCTGTTCCAAGTCTGATGTCGTTCCTACCCAATCATGTCTACACTTTTACTGATTACATGCTTTCTTGCTTCATCTCTTGGTGCTTGATGTTTTGGTTTTGATTTTGACATAATTAATCCTGATGCATCGTTCTAGTGTTGCTATTATTTACAATTCCATTTCCGCTTTCAAATGTCCCCCTTCCCCACACACGCTTTCTAATCAAATTTGCGACATTCTCTCCCCATTTACACCCTCCGATTGTCTCTCGAATCTTCCAGGTAATATCTTCTTGTCATTTCTCGATTGCAATAAAATACATCATCGAGAGAAAATTCATCGCACCTTAACCCACGTTGGCCCGTTGCAGAGCATTCTCCTTTCGTGCTCTCATAACAGCTTTCAGGAATTTAAGCTATAATGGGTACGAGTCTTTCCAAAGACGGTTGGCAGGATGTCAATTTGGTTGTTAGGATGCAATTCACAGATGCGGCCGAGGGAATGCAGCGTACGAAGTCCTGCAAGATTATACACCAGGATATACGCGTCACTATAGAAGAGCACTTTCACGCCGGAGATAAAATTTATTGCAGTCGGGGGTGGGGGCATTCGGTTGCGCAATAAACGAGATGGGTAAGTGCAGTACAAGCAATTACCATTATAATATGCTTCTCTGTTATTAGGGATCAAGTGACAACAAAACCCTGCATACTTTACTGTTTACTGGCTGGATCAACTTTGTTTCAATTTATCCTCAGACCTCTACATTCTTCTTTTATGCCCCATATCTCTTCAGTACGTAGGTTAGTCTATCATGGCCCTCCATATCTTCCTGTCCCTTGTAACTCTTAATAAGTTTTGTTTTGTTGTTATTTCTCCCAGACACTGTTCTAACATCCGTTTACTGAAGCTCATCAAGTATGTTACGCGCTGCTTTCCTCTGTTCCTTTTTTCCTTCAATTTGTCCTGTGAGTTTCAGATTTCCCAAGCCCTCCTTCCTCATTACGTGCCCCCAAAATTTCACCTGACACATCCTTATGTTATATATAAGTTTCCTTTTTGTTTCCATTTTAGTGTCCTCCCTCTGAGAAGTCTACTTTGGACTCTTCCGTCTACTATAAAATTAATAGGATTAATAGGCCTTGGGGGAACAGTCGAATAGATTGTGCGTTGGGTCAACCGACACACACTCACTAGTCGTGTAATACTCCTCTGTTGTACTTAATATCTATATCTGTAACACTTGTTTTTTTTTATTTCTTTAACCATTTACTTGGTCACAACATTTTCCAAAAGTTTGTCATTGCTCACATGTTCAGTCCATGATATCCTCAGCATCTGTCTGTAGAACGATATTTCTGTTGCTTCAAGTCTCTTCTTAATCTTTGAGGAGATTGTCCAGCATTCGCTGCCATACAGGAGGACAAATATCACGTAACAGTTCAGTACTCTTTTCTTTGTTTCGGTTGAATTAATAAAATCTTTTTCTTGGAATGAATTTTCAGGGAAATGGGTTTTCTTAACTTCGCTGGCAGTTATCGCCCTTTTCAGTATTAATGGGGGTTTCCTTCCTCACCTTTTGTTCGAAGTAGTGTGGAACACCGACATCTTGTACACTATTTACATTGTTCCGACTATCATCCTCATCATTGTTGCCATATTAATCACAACGTTTTGGCTGTTGTACGCTTCAGCCTTCTTCAGGTGGTTGGAATGTTGAACTGTCGACCAAGCATAGAAATGAATACAATATGGGAACCAGTAATAAGAAGTTCCAGAGAAAAGCAATAATAACAACGAAAATTGCAATATGAGCTCTGGTAAAAAAAATATATGCCTGCAATGATAACAGCAAAAATTGCAATATGAGCACTGGTAAGAAATGGTTGCTGAAGACCTTAGGTTTATAAAACCCAGACATTCATACATAGATGTCTTTAAAGACATATGGCACAGTGGATAAAATCGTTAGTTAGATCCAGTGACAGGACCCAAAGAGTTGTGAGTTCAATACCTGGTTAAGGCACATGAGAAGTTGGAGAGGGGAATTAACAGGAGATAACTGATAACTGACATCCATTAGACATGGCACGTGGAACTAGAACAGTCTACCACAGGGAGCGAAATAAAGGGTTCAGTTCGACATGCCAACCATCTGAAGAAGGCCGAAACGTTGTGATAAATATGGTAACAAAGATGACGACAATAGTCCGAACAA